GGAGGGGAGGGGAGGGGGTGGGGGGGAGCTGGCTTCCTCACAGCTGACCTCTGGATTCCCACCCCTTCAGCTGTGTCCCTCATAGGCCAGACCATCCCCTTTCCTCCCTGGGACCTCAGTTTCCCCATCTGAAGCACCAGGAACGCTGTTCGTCATGCAATCACGGCTTTTTCTTTCATAAGCTCAGGGTTTCAGGAGTCCAGTCCCTCCGGCGGCGGCGGCGGCATGTAAGGCAGCTATGTCGGGGCTGAGAGGGATCCCTAGGAAGAGGGCCATGCTGGAGAGCACCGAGGCTCCCCCTGGAAGCTGCAGCTGGGGCTCCCGCAAGCCCACGTGGCAGGAAGCCCCACGCGCCCCAAAGGTGTTTGTGTAAGAACCCGGCCGAAGGGGCCTCTGCTACGATTGCAGGGGCCTGAAACCTGAGCCCGCCCCGCCACAGTCGCGGGGTCACCAAACCCAGACTAAATAGTCTGGCGGCCTGCTCGGCTGTCTGGAAACGGTCGGGGAGGGAAGGGGTCAGGGAGGGAGGGGCTGGAGTGCTGCCTCGGCCAACACAGGCGCCTGTGTCCACAGCCCCTCCGGCCCCTCCCCTGCCCTGGAGCCCAGCTACGCATGTGGCCTGGCTTTCCTTACTTCTGTTTTACTTCACAATGGTGGAGGGGAGCTGGGGGGAAGGTACAGGGTAGCTCCCCACCCTGGGCCTCCTCTGCTCCCCTGCACAAAGGTCTTGGCTGCGTACCACAATGTGTTCAGGCCTGAGCCAGGCTTTTACACCCAAAGGCATCTCCATGTTGCCCTGTGGCCTTGGGCAGAGAGGGGCCTCTGGTTCAGTTTGGAAATTGCCCTACCTGAATTAGAGACAGCGGACCAGTGTGACTGACCTAACACGTTCCTGAGCACTGCCCTAAGCCGGCCGCTGCCCTCAGGACTCTCTCTCTGAGTCCAATGACTCCTCTGAAGTCACACCCTAGGTGAGTGTCCATGGCAACGCTTGAATACAGATTAATCCTAAAATTTACCCCATGGCAGCATAGCACTGGCACGTGACCAGGACGTGAACACCTCCTTCAGATGCAGGAGGAGTCTGTCTACCGATGAGCAAAAGGTGGGGACTGCAAAGTGCAGATCCACTGACCCACTGGGAAATACACAAAGACACCTCTGCAGGATGGAATACTATGCAACCGCGAACAGGAAGGGAATTACGCTTCATGGGACGGGAGGGGTGGATTGTGAAGGCCTCATGCTGAGTGAAAGAAACAGGCCTTGAAAGGATAAGTATCACGGTGGTACTTCCCCAGGGCACCCGGAACAGAGAAACCCAGAGGTAGGCGGTGGACCGACCAGGCGTGCCATGGGTTGGTGAGGCAGGATTGAGTTACTGTTCACCAAGAATGTAAGGGATGTTCAGGAGCCTGGCGAAGGGAGAGTGGGGGCGCACTGTCTGTGCCACTGAGCCACACTCTGACCACTGAGCCACACTCTGACCAC